GCGGGCGGAGAGGAGGCGCGGAGGCACGACCGATGTGCGAGCCCGGGGCATTGGCGTGTCGGCTTGGTCGAGACTCGCGAGAGGCGCCCGTCGGTCGTGCCTCCGCCCGTCGAGTGTCGTGCTGTCGTCGGCCGCGCCGCTGCTGATGTAGTGCGGTTAGGCAGACTCCAGACACGTATATGTAGCTCACCTGTCTTCCCGGTCTCCAGACTCCACTTGCGGCGCGGGCGGAGAGTCGGTCGCTCCGCGCGCAGAGCTGCTCGTCGTGTGTGTGGCGCGCGTTTTGCCGCACTATACAATCTAGAGCGTAGAGGAAGAGCCGTACCCAGCACATGCCAGCACGGCGGGGTGTGGGCTGTGTACCGTCTCTCCCACTCCCACCGGCACCGCGGCCACCCCGCTGGCGCTAGCTCGCGCCTTGTCGCCTACTCCCAGTGTACCCGCCCGACCGAGAGATACACACGACCGCGGGCAGATCGGCGCGCCGCGCGCCGCGGAGGCCTCGGCTCGGACCGCGCGGCCCTAATCGTCCTCCAGCTCCTCCGGGTGTATGGGATTGGGCAGTGGCACCGCCGACCTTCGGTCCGCGTCTCGTGAGAGCGGCTTCCGCATGTCGTATGCGTCCTCGTCGCCAGAGTAGTAGCCGAGCACGTGCCGACAGACGGAGTAGCCCAGGCTCTCGTAGAAGCTGATGGCGACGCCGTTTGACCGCCGCACAAACAGGTCCACGAACCACGCCGCCTCGTGATCCGACACCGACTCGAGCAGACCCATCAGCGCGTGGGCGGTGCCGAGGCGGCGGTACTCGGGCGGCACCGTGACGGCCGTGACGTGTCCGTGCCACGGCAGCCCGGCGTCCAGCTTGCCAGGCGCGCCCGACCCCTCCGCCTTGCCGAGCACGTACCCCATCGAGCGGCCGTGCGGCGCGTCGACGTTAAAGCAGTACTGCGGCCACTTGGCGAGGTACTGGAGGTAGAAGCCCATCGTGAAGGTCTCCGTCAGCGGGTCCAGGTTCACGTTGTTGAAGCGGAGCAGGTCGAAGGGCGAGAAGCGGCGGAGGGTGGCCATCGCCGGTCGCCCTGGCGTGGTCGGGCTGCGGTCGCGCTTTCTTTTTACCGCCGCATGGACACGTGTGTGTGTGTCCTAGTAGTGTTCCCAGCTATGGGCGTGTCCACGTTGAAGCCAGGTGTGGTGTGGGCGCGAGAATAGCTCCGCCGTTCATGGAGGCAACCGATGCGAGTCGACTGGTGTGTGTCGTCGTGGTTTCGGATCAAGCAAGAATACTCACTCACGCATGGACACTTGCTCGTGCGTGTCGTCATCATCTGTCCCGCGTCCACCCATACCGCGTTGGTGTCCAGTCCGAGCCTGACTGCGTACATATGGACACCTCACAACACCCCACACACGGCCTCGTCCATGCCTTGCGGCCGGCGAGATTGCTAGAGGCGGAGCGGTCTGCTCTAGCCTCGGGCACGTTACTCCCTGTCGCCTGTCTGTCTGTGTTGTTGTTTGTTTGTGCTCTTGTTTGTGCCCTTGGCACCGTGTGTGCTGGGGGGGGCGACAGGGGGGACGTGGCCCTGAGTGATGTGTACGCCTACTCAGGGTGTGTGGCAGCCAAAAACTGGCTGTGTGTCTTGTGAGCTTGTTTGTGTGTCTGTGTGTCGCTCGTGCGTGTCGTCATCCTCTGTCTCGCGTCCACCCATACCGCGTTGGTGTCCAGTCCGAGCCTGACTGCTCTTCACCTTCCTACCTAACCTAACCTAAAAAGGTCTCTTCTGAGGGAGGGTGTCCGGGTGCACCCGAGCCCACCCGAGAGGTGTCCTCAAGGGTCTGGGGCCGTTTTGCTAAAAATCGAGCAAAGTCAGCTCCGCCGCATGCGCACGGCTGTTCGTGAGCGTGACGCAGCGCATATGCCACTCCCGGCTTCGGCGAAGTGAAGGGCGTCAGGGCTGTCAGCCATGATGACGAAGGCGGCGAGGTGCAGGCGCCTCCGAACCTCCGACTCCATGCCGGGCCTCAAGGAGGTCCCGGACTTTGCCATCAATGCGATGGAATAGTGGTTTTTCGTGTCACCGAGGTTCGAGGGGCGTCCCAAGTTTGCGTGCAACGTTGGGACACTTGCTTTCAGCTTGGGCGTCTTCCTCGGCAGCTTGGTGAGTGCGAATTTCCGCGCAGTGTGTGCGTCTTTCTCGCTTTCATTGATAACACGCGGATGGTCCAAACCCTTACAGCTCGGCCCCTCGCATGTTACTGCAGTGTGACACCCAAAGGTGTTGGGCAACGGTGACACGATCACGAGGGCTGGGGGTGTGAAGGGCACAACCATGGTTGCGTGCAGACAAGATGGAGATAGAGCAGCCCCGGACGCCTGGCGGCGGCTTGTGCTATGCCTGCTTTGGAGCCCGACGGGAACGCGGGAGCTATGGTCTCCCACCCTCCTCCCCTATAGCCTCTCACAGTCTGGCGACAGTGGGGGGTGAGTGCGAATTTCCGCAGTGTGTGCGTCTTCTTGCACTCCATGCTCCGTCGGCTACAGCAAGGTGACGCCCGGAGAGAGCCGTGCCTTCCCCATCGGCGCCACCGCCTCCCACGCATCCGTCCCCGGGTCGTACCGCTCGACCGAGGTGAGGGAGCCGTCGTCGTGGTTGAAGCCTCCCACCACATACAGCTTGCCGTCGAGCACCGCCACGCCGGCAAAATTCCGCTCCACCGCCATCGGCGCCACCGCCTCCCACACACCCAGCGCCAGATCGTACCGCTCGACCGAGCTGAGCCAGCCGTCGTCGTTCAAGCCTCCCACGGCGTACAACTTGCCGTCGAGCACTGCAATTGCGAGCTCGTCCCGCAACTCCGCCATCGACGCCACCGCCTCCCACGCGTTCGCCGCCGGATCGTACCGCTCGACCGAGCTGAGGCGGACACCATCGAATCCGCCCACAGCGTACAGCTTGCCGTCGTTGAGCACCGCCATGGCGTGGTCAACCCGCGTCGTCGCCATTGGCGCCACCGCCTCCCACGCGTTCGTGGCGGGATCGTAGCGCTCCACCGAGCTGAGGTGGCCGACACCGTCGTTGAAGCCGCCCACAGCATAGACCTTGCCGTCGAGCACCGCCACGGCGTGTTCCTGCCGCGCCGTCCCCATCGGCGCCACCGCCTCCCACGCGTTCGCAGCCAAGTCGTACCGCTCCACCAGGTTGGAAGTTGCGCCGTCGTCCTCGCTCTCGCCGCCCACCGCGTAGAGCTTGCCATCGAGCACCGCCGTGCCGACATGCCTTCGTGTCGTCGGCATTGGCGCCACAGCCTCCTCCTCCCACTCATTCATGGACGGGTCGTACCGCTCAAGCGAGCTGACAAACTCATCGTTGCTGCCGTGGCCGCCAAACACGACCAAGCGCGGCCTCTCGCGCGTCTTCAGCGTCTCCTTCCAGCCGCGGCGCCACGCGCGGCACGTCCCCTTGGCGGCGTGCTCCGTGGTCGGCAGCTGGGCGAGGATGTGCGGGGCGAGGTCCGGCGAGAGGAGGACCTCGGAGAGCACCCACTCGGGCTGCTCCGCGAGCCGAGCGGCGTGCTCCTCCGCCACGCGCATTGCGGCGGCGCTCCAGAGGGGCGCCTGCTCGTCGATGAAGGCGACGAGCTGCTCTGGCGAGAGGCCAGACAGGCGGGCGCCGATGCGGTGGGAGGCCATCGGTGTGGAGCTCAGCGGCGCGCAAAGCCCTTCTTTTTTGTGCCAGTCCGCGCCAGTCCGCGCCCTTGTCGTGCCAGTGTGCTGTGAGAGAGGCTTGTGCCCAAGAATTCTTTTTTGAGCCTTCGCGTTGGTGTCCAGTCGAGCCTGGCTGTTCTTCACCTTTCTACCTACCTACCTACCTCGGTGTAATGAAACAACGCAAGGTGTGTGTGTGTGTGTGAGATTTGGTCGAGTACGAGGACCGGGGGGGAGGGGGTTCAACTTGGCGACGGAGGATTGTGGGCTGTCGCGGGGACTGTATCGCCGGAGGCGAGGCAGGCAGATCCGGACGGTGTTCACCCGGTGGGAGGCACCGAGGCGTCGTGGGGACGCTCTTCTGTTCGGTCGACGCTTGTTCGTCCACGGAGAACTCAGTGGTTGTCACCACTTTGTATGCTTTTAATATTAACCTTGCGAACTCGTCCCCCCCGGCAGGGCTATGCAACTGTGACCAGTGTGTGCTGTCTGCGCCTGAATGAACCAGGTGTCAAATCTGCCGATGCGTGACCTGTGCGTGGGCTGCTCTGTGAGGGGTCCAGGCGTAGTCCGACGGGTAGAGCCGTATCTTCCCCCCTTTCTGCAGATGGCTGGCGTGCAGGACTGCTACACCGCGTCGCAGGGCCACACCAAGACCAAGGGCAACTTCGCAAAGGCCGCCTTCAACGCCATCGCGAAGAGCTACGGCTTCCTCACGCCCGACCTGTGGAAGGAGACCCGCTTCCACAAGAACCCGTACCAGGAGCACACCGACTACCTCGCCAAGACGCACACCCCGCGCAAGGCGACCTCCTCGATGCTGATCCCGCGGGAGCCGTAGTGCGAGATCTGAGAGCGACCGCCGCGCGCCCTCACTGAAC